TTTTTTTTTTTTTTAAAGACTTATTTATTTATGCATACAAGGTGTAGGGGGTGAGAGGATTCACTAGAGACAGAGTGAAGAACAGAACAGGCAGATAGACTGAAATACACTGCTAAGGGGAGCGGCAGGGGGTCAGAAGAGGTCTGCTGCACCATGTGGGTCAGCTCCCTGGCTGGGGGTTGGCTTGTGCTGCAGTGGCTGCAGATTGCTTCATAATGCTGAGTCTTGGCCCTTTTGTGCCACCGGGGAGGCCCCACTTCCATCCTTTTTTCCCCCCACTACTGTAGAATGATGGGTGAGGTGATCGGTGCTCAGTAACAAAAGGCAGGACAAGAGAATAAAGGGAGGGAGGAAATCCATGTGTCTGTTTAGAACTTGAATATAGGTAAATGTTTAATGGTGCAGCTAATCACTAAGAATTATCAGGTGCTTCCTATGATATACCCTCAGCTGGGTGCTATGCAGTAACATTAACTTCTAAAAACACAGTATAAATAGAGCTTTTCACTGATTTGTGGCTACTTAAGTGCTTGGCAGATGAAAGAGATAAGAGAACTTGTACTGAAGGCTGTTTTCAAGCAGCTCTGGGTTCAAAGGTTAATGTTGTCCAGTTTTTAAGACCCTTAGCTTTGTCATCTGGATTCACATGTGTAGGCTGGATGTGGTTTATTTGGGGGCTCAAGTGCCGGTAAAATGGAAGTCATTTCTTATATCCCCTAAGAGCGGAACTTGAGTTTTTTGATACTTATTTAGAGAATTCTAGTCATTCAGAAGTTGATTAAAAGGCAGAATTAACCAGGACTCAAGAAAAATAATAAAAATATGTTCCTGTCTCCCAACAAATAAGAAACCACTTTCATGCCATGCAGGCAGTCCTGAACGTTTTACTTTTTGAATTTTGTACCATGTTAAGTATTACCTACTCAGAGAAACGATTTAGATTTTTTAAATAGTTACAGTTTTGAGTTTCAAAGTGAAACAGAATCAAGAGCTTTCTTACACATTCTCCAAATTACACTTAGCAATTTTGACTCATGTTGGGAGAATAGCTATTCACAAGTCTCTTGTGAGGGAGATGCTGGTGGCTTTTCTCCTGAAATATCTTTTTAAGGATGTTTGGACAACAAGAAGCCTTGGAGGAGAGTGAGAGCATTTCCCTCCGGGGACAAGGCAGGTTCATTCACTGTCCAGTATAACAAAGAGGACGCTGCCTCTGGGCAGAGGCTGGACAAGTGCTTGCTGGTCATTACCAAAGACCAGAATCTGCCAAGCTCAGGGATCCTCCGTTGTGACACAAACCAGGGTTGGTCCAGGCTCTGGCTGTGGGAGCAACCCCCGCAGCTGAGCGCTGCAGCCCAGGCCCTTGGAGTGGCTGGGGCAAGGAAGGGCAGGAACTCCACCCCTGGTGCCAGGCACTGCCATTGCGGGGGTGGGGGTGGGGGAAGACACCTGCCCTGTGCTATGGTCTGATCCTAACCCACGACATCCTGAGCAAGGGAGCTTGGCGAGGGGCACAGCTGAGCAGCTATTTTTGTGAACCTTTAAAAAGGAGTGATGGATGTAGGCTCTTGCTCTTTTCTTTCACTGGAGCTGCAACGAAGGAGTCACCAGGGTGACAGGCCCTTGTGTCTTCCCGCAGGAGCCTGCCCATCTCAGCAGGGGCATGTCTCTGCCACCCCATCAGCCCTGTAGCTGCAATTCCACTTCCATCCTTCCATAATTGGACCTTCTTCCTTTCCTGCTTCCCTCTTGGCTTTCCCTCACCCTCTCTCCTCTTGGTTGGAATAAATTGTTCTCTTCTTTTCTGGTGCACCAAAGGCCCTTCTGTTTGTATTTGTGGTGGCAGATGCCAGACCCAGAACCAGACAGAAAGGTTCTGACCCAATGACAGCTTTGAGACCCTTTGCCTGCTGGCACAGCCAGGCTTATTTCCCTTGCCTTTGCCAGGCTAGAGGGCAAGGGGCATGAGTATGGGCAGGAAGCTTCCGCTGCCTGCTGTGAGTAACAAAGACCTTCGCTCTGACCCTGGAGGTGCATGTCTTTTGCACACATCCATCCACTTACTGGACAGCTTGCAAACCAAGCCTCAGGTTCTTTATCCTCCTTACAATGCTTAAGTTTATATCCAGGAAAGCGTAGCAAGGGTATACTGTAGTTCACCCAACTTGATCAAGGAAGAATGTATTTTCTAAGAAAATGATTTGTACAACAGAAGTCATGGGATTGCTTACAGTGTAGAGAGGGAAGGAAACTGAAATGTGCTGCTTTGCTGCTTCCTGACCCCAAACCCGCCAAGTGCCTATATTCAGACCCTACCTCTATGTCAAGTTCAAGTGACCATGTCTGGTCTCGTGGTTTAAGGACATTCTGTACCTTGGCCATGACCAGCTCTGCCTGACAATCCAGGCTGGGTTCTAACGCTGGTGGAGGGCTTAGAAAAGGCTTTCTCACTTCCCGAGAAAGTGGGAGCTTTTTGAGCTGACATAAAGAATGAAAACAGAACCATCACTTGTTCTAGTACTAAAGGCCACCTCAGTGGCTTTCATTCTTCCAAAGAACAGACTTACCACATGCTCTTCATATTAAGAATCACTTACTTGTCACATAAGCCAACCTAGAATATTATATCAGACTTACCATATGAGATGTCTGTAGAGTCCCTATCACCTCCCCGTTCACTATGCAAGGCTGGGGAAGTTGGGGTGGTGTATATAACACTTTGTCTACTCCTGAAATACCTGGGACCTGGTAGGAAGTCAGGTGCTGTCAGAGCTGCTGTTGGCGAGGTAGATTAGCACCCAGGTGTGTGAGTCTCAGTGATCTGGAGATGCTGCCACGGAGACATCAGTGAAAAGGCAGGTGTGCTCCAGAAAATTTAATGACCGTCCTGGATCTGGGAAGGGAACTGCCCTAGGTGTGGTCTCACTGGGTTGGCT